AGTAAATATATAGTATATTTAAATAATCTATTTCTTCAAGAATTCTTCAATGATTTGATAAAGTAGTTTAATATCTTTCTAGCATTTTGCTATATGATTTTTGTTAAAATGAATGTATTTAAAGGTACTACTGCCTGAATGTTCTGGTACAAGCCTAATTGATCTTTCTTGGCTGATTATTCTTTGTAAATCAGATTTTTTTGTTATACATTGCGGAGCATGAAGATTTTGTAAGCGCATAAATTTTTCTTTTATCACAAATGTCATAATTCCACAATTGCAATAGAACTTCGCGTTGCGTCGGCTGATGTTTTGGAGCACATAGCTATGAAACTAACTAAAGGTTTGGGAAATAAACATTGCCAACATAACCTTTATTTCTTTTTTGTACAAAAAAAAATTTTTTTTCATTGGATTTACATAAATGATTTACAAAACAAAAACAATAATATAACAATTTAATGATTCTAAATATGCTCACTTTATTTTCAAATGACGATCTATAATTATATAAAATTAACATAAAAATTTCAGTTTATACATTATGCCCATTAACGCGAACACATTCATAACGCTTGTCTTCCGCGAGTTTCGATGGGTAAAGAAATCATACAAACTCCCACTAAAAAAAATGCAGCGGCCGAAACGTATAAAGGCAACGTGATACTAATAGCTAACAGATTTCCTGCAATTATTGGACCAGCCATACCAGCTCTAGCGATAAGGAAAAATACATGACCGTCAATTAAAAACTCAAAATTCGACACACAGAAACATATTGAATTTCACATACACTCTAGCGCATGCCGAAGCAATTCCATTTGCAGTTCCTCTTACTCTCGTCTCAAAAACCTCAGCAGTATAACCATATATTACAGAATATTCGATGATATTCAGGATATTAAAAAGTACGTTGCATGTAATTGACCATGCTCTTGAATCGAATATTGCAAAAAGAAACACTGATAATGAAGAACCGAAGGCCCCAAGTGACATCGTATATATTCGGCCCAGTGGAGTTTCTATCAGATAAGTTCCAATTAATGATCCCGGAACTCCACAAATCGAGAATATTATATAATCCTTTAGTACTTCTGTGATTACTTTAGACGAATCATTGTTAGATTCATTCCTGGTCTCTTGATTTTCTAAGAATTTAGGGAGGAAAGTGTTAAACATATTGAAGGCCACAGAATTGAGGGACCAGAATAGCCAGACAAGTATGGTTGTGCGAATCCATTTTGGTGTGAAAAGAGGTCTTATCTCTTGAAGTTTTAATGAAATACAGTTTCTAAGGAAAGATGCAGGATTGGTGAATTTTTTTTTGTGTGGCTGTTTGACAGAAGACAAAAAAGGGTATGTCATTGGTAGTACGGTGCGATCATCCGAACCCGATGTTGTCAAATCGCTAACATGGATCGAAATATCGCGACCATTAATGCGCGCAATCTCACGTAAGACATCTACTGCCTCTTGTTTTCGATTTCGTACGATTAAAAATTTCGGAGATTCTCTAAGTCTAAAAAATAAGATACGGCTGATAAACATAATAAATGTCTGGAATCAAGATGATTGAGAAAATTTAAGCAAAGAATACGTAAGATCGAGGATCGGATTACGCTTAAAAAACTCACAATAGTACCACAAATAGCCAGCAAATATTTCCAACCATTGTTGTGTGTGTGAACATCACAAGACGTGGTACCGTTCTCAGGGCAACTAAAAGGTGGTAATATGAAATATGCTATAACGGATGTAACGACAGATCCGAAAGGCCAGAAGACAGACATAAATGTGAGTAGATATTGTTTGTCTTTTGGTACAAATTCGAGAAATATTGCGCCTGTGAATAATTTATACAATAACATTATCAGCAGACAAATAGTTTATAAGATCAGATCACTAATTTGATATATTTACTTACCGTCTACTGGTAAATTTCCTCCAACGCTAGCCCCCAAAAAGAACATTGATATGCATATCTGCGTAAAGTTTTGTGAGAGACTCGATATCAATCCAAACATCGCTGTCATGGCAAGCGTCCAATTGAAAGCTTGCTTGCGACCAAACGTATCCGAAAAGACGCCCCAAAATATCGCCCCAAACATCATTCCCAATATGATAGAACTGGGTAGAAGACCTATTATTGAATTCGATACTTGAAAGTGTGCTATGAATATATAATGAAAATGTGGTCAGGATGTTTTACATGTGACATTGTACAAGTAAAAAAGGTAAAATTACTTTGAACTCTCGGTAAAATTATTGAAGTAGCCTGTTATTCGTAAAGATAATAAAGGCAATACATTTCTCATTATGCTTTATTCAGTATCTTAAGCGTAAGATTGTAAATAATTACACACCTGGAACCATAGCTAAAAGATAAAAATATTTTCCATGTTAGACGAAATATAAATTACGTTAAATAAAAAAACGTGAACAATGTTCATCGTACATTATCAGCGAACCAACCAAAACCACATAACCACTAGTGAGAAAAGTACAAACAGATATTAATATGTTAAGCGTTCAATCCTATCAATAAAGCAAGTTAGCCACAAACCAATAATCTTTTTTGGAATTTTCCCATTCCAATTTTTTCGATAATTTCTTCAAAACCCGTTTTTGGATATTCCTTTCCACTAATTACAATTAAATCATCATCTTCTTCACTGTCACCGGGTAGAAAGATCTGTTCATCGGAAGAATCGTCATTTTCCTCTTCTGCTTCTGCTTCGGTTGCAGTTGTTTCTTGATTACCGTTGACAAAAGTACTATTTGCTGATAGAAATTTTTCACGCTCAAAAATAATCGATCCTGGTTCAGAAAGGTCCATTTTTATTAATCAAATCAGGAAAGAGGGAAGTGTTTTTCAATCAACTTTGCATACCTTATGCATTATATTTGTGCGTCACATATACTCAAATAGGTAATTAATGTAATTGCTCACTATCATATCACGTGCGATATGTTATCCAGAAAATGATAGGTTAAAACTTGGTGTATACTCATGTAATACAGTATCTTTGGGTCGATGAAAATTTCGTATAGTACGCGGCACGTCAACAGTAAAAAGGAAACTTTCGGTTTTTCTTTTGTTAGGGTTATGAATTCTATAGTATGACATATTACGTATTATTTAAATTGCATATATCAATCCTCTGGGCTAAGCCTTGTTCAAGCCTCGAGCCTGGTTCTAACTTGATTCTAATAATACTGACATAATTCATTATACATTAGTATGATTATAATAGTGACAATAAAATACTCTTGCTTTAAATTTCAGTACCTCGTTTGCATATAACCTGACTTTTTCGTGATGCTGCCAGGAAAATTTAAAAAGTAACCATTATCGAAAAGGAAATTTATAATGCTCATACTGGTGGACTTTGGAAGTTCCTTCTGAAGGAGTAGCACGAACTATGAAGGAAAAAAGTTCAGGCATTACTTTTTTATGAAAATTCACGACGAACGAGATTTTCGGAAAAAAAAATTATAAAAAAAT